CAGGAAGATTTAAGAGACCTTTAATTTTCATTCGTAAAATCAAACTACTTTACCACGTTTCTTCTTTCATCGGCTGGGGATCTTGTCAGTTAGAATTGAAATAGTTTGGAGCAGAAAATTCATGTACTGTCAGCCAGGGGGATCCGAGATGGCTTATCTTTTATTTTTTTTTTTTTTAACATGGTGGTTGTTTCTAAGTACTACTTCAGTGCATACAAATAATCATTCTGAAGAAGCCAAAGTACTCCAGGATGGAGAAGCAGATCTTATCAAGGCACATAAATACGGAACTGAGAGTATGGTTTTCAAATACAGGCAAGGGTCCAGTTCCATGCTGCAACTAAAAAGTTTTCTGCTTTGGAAAAGGAGGTCTCATTCCTTCACCCTCCTCCCCCCTCTTTCTTCCTGGTCCCGCTCTCCTTTCTTCCTTCACCACTTTTCCAGCCTCCCACTTCTGGCTGTACAGTCCTTTCTTCTCACTACTTTGTACTATCACCGTCAGGCATTAGATTGTAAAGTAAACCGATGCAACTCCAAACCCCACAGAAAGCATGACCGTAATTTTTCTAGATTGTTTTCTGCTCTTCTAGTGAGTTAAGTCAGCTCACTGTGCTATCTATCCTGGGAGCATTAGGGCGAGCTTTTAAGAGAGGAGAGTGCATAGGCAGAAGGAAGGGAGGAGGTCAGGGAGATGGTGAGGCGAATGGTTCTCCTTTCTGTGGCAGCAAGCTCTTAGTTTGTCTCAAATCATCTTCTTATATCATACCCTGAAAGACAGGCAAGGAATAAAAAGCACCGCCTCCGGAAGTGCATGAGAAAACCCATGTAGTAGGAAGTACTAACGCACCTTTGGTTTTATTGGACTTTCCAGACTTTGATTTCACATTCTTTTAACGGGAGCTGAGCTTGATTCTCTACTGCCTTGCACTCAGTGAACTGTGTGGCAAGGATGTGAAATGCTGTGACTTCAAAAAGTAGAAGACAGTGGTGGGCCAAGCACTTGTTTTTTACATGATCTCTGTGATCTTCTTGAGTCATTTTCCCAGTCAGTATGTAGTGGCCAAGACAGAGCGGATACAACGTCAACTAATGAAAGAAGAAAAAAGGATTTCAGTCTCGTTCTTGGGAGCATGGCTGATTCTCAGAAAACCCATGGATGACCCTTTCCAGCCTATGAGAAGCTGCTACCATTTCTGTTTACAGTGGTTCCAAATGAGAAATTAAGAATGATGGTGAGTGTGTCATGCGTAGCACTCTACAATTTGCTTTTTGCTACATTTCAGCTCTTTAGAAATAGATATACAATAGAATAAATAGAAATCCAGTACAAGCCCACCACTGGTAATACTGCACAATCACTACAGCATCTCCAAATTGTGGGAATGAACCTGGACACCCCTTCAGCAGGTAGAGAATCAGTTCCCTGCCTTAAAGACACAACATCTTAATTTATTGCTTTAGTTAAGTTTATTTTGTTTTTCTTCATAACTAATTTTAGGCAAATTGGCATGTTT